ACAATACAATACAATACAATACAATACAATACAATAGCAGAGTTGGAAGAGACCTTGGAGGTCTTCTAGTCCAAGCCCCTGCCTAGGTAGGAAACCCTATACCGTTTCAGACAAATGGATATCCAACATCTTCTTAAAGACTTCCAGTGTTGGGGCATTCACAACCTCTGGAGGCAAGCTATTCCACTGATTAATTGTTCTAACTGTCAGGAAATTTCTCCTTAGTTCTAAGTTGCTTCTCTCCTTGATTAGTTTCCACGCATTGCTTCTTGTCCTGCCCTCAGGTGCTTTGTGGAAGCCCCTTAGATATTGGGACACTGCTATCACGCCCTCCCTAGTCCTTCTTTTCATTAAACTAAGCATACTCAGTTCCTGCAACCGTTCTTCATCTACAGAGATAAACAAAACCTTTACCTAATATAATCAGGTACAGAAATGTTCTTCCTGGAGGGTGGGAAGGAAGAAAAAACAAAAAAAATTCAAGATTGTTAGAACAGAACAGAATAGGACAACAGAGTTGAAAGGGATCTTGGAGGTCCCACCCTACGTAGGCAGGAAACCCTACACCACTTCAGAGAAATGGTTATCCAACATCTTCTTAAAAACTTCCAGTATTGGAGCATTCACAACTTCTGGAGGCAAGTTGTTCCATTGATTAATAGTTCTAACAGTCAGGAAATTTCTCCTTAGTTCTATGTTGCTTCTCTCCTTGATTAGTTTCCACCCATTGCTTCTTGTCCTGCCCTCAGATGCTTTAGAGAATAGCTTGACTCCCTCTTCTTTATGGTAACCCTTGAGATATTATAACACTGCTATCATGTTACCCCTAGTCCTTCTTTTCATAAAACTAGACATACACAGTTCCTGTAATCATTCTTCATATGTTTTAGCCTCCAGTTTCCTGACCATTTTTGTTGCTCTTCTCTGCACTCTTCCCAGAGTCTCCACATCTTTTCTACATCGTGGCGACCAAAACTGAATGCTGTATTCCAAGTGTGGCCTGGCCAAGGCATTATAAAGTGGTATCAACACTTCACTTGATCTTGATTCTATCCCTCAGTGTACTCAATGTGTTATATATTTTTGAAAAGAACAGTGCTTTGTGGGCCTGGCTCTGAGGTTGTTGAAAATCACACTATTCCTATCTGTAAAAACGCACATCTCTTTTTCCCCCCGTCCCCAGTTATATTGTCAGAGCTTGCACCGGTCCACAGCAGCCTACAGGAAGCGTTTCTGAAGCAGAAGAGAGATTTCATCGAGAGATCTTTGAAAAGGGTGGAGAAAGTAAAAAAACGAGAGCGGAGCTCTGAAAAGACCCAGCCGAAGGAATTACCACTGAAAAAACCACAACTGCATAAACGAAAAGCAAACCGGTCGCCTCATGGTAATTATTGGCAAACAAGTATAAACTGAAGGAGAGAAGTATGAAATGTGAATGATCCTTTAGGTGTCAAATTTGATTTCATTGAAGGCCGCATCAGGGTTGTGTTTGAAGGGGGGGGGGGGGGGCGTGGCCAGGATGGGCGTGGTCAG